GTAGCGGGATCTGACCTGATGGACACTTTGAAAGCAATCTCTCTACCTCAGCCTTGCGAGCCCTAATGCAGCCCTTTCAACCCACGGCTGCATGGAGCAACCAGGCCTGGGGCGCTGGCTGATGAGTGAGAACCTTGAGCCTGGGATTGCACCTGCCCTATGACTCCACCGCCAAGGTGCGTAGTGTCCTCAAGAAGGCAAATTGTGCGAGGGGCTGCCACTGTTTTCCCACCCTTGGTCGCAGGAGAGCCGACTTCGGTTTTTCCTTTGGCCTCTCAAGCAAATTTCCTTCTAAGTCACGTCGTTTTCCGTTCCTTCCCTTTGCTGTGCCCTCTCCTCCTCCATTTGAACAGTTCTTTTTAACTTTAGCTTTCCCTCAGCCAACAGTTGAGCCCAGTTGGTGTCAGAATTGACTCATTGGGATGGAGGTTAGGGGACATGAGAAGACAAGACCTTGTGTTTCTGGTCTCACCTATATAGATCTTCCCCACAGACCAAATCAGTTCTTGGGGTCCACTCCTGTCCTGTTTCTCTCATGCTTCCATTGCCTCAGGTGCTGTTTGTCTCTTTTCAAGGGCACTGAGAAGGAAGCCAAAGACATCCTAATTCAAATTCTAGAACTGCCCCTTACAGGGTGGTAATTATTTCCCCTCTATTGTCCCCAGTTTCCTCATCTGCAAAATGGAGATGATACTGTGAAAATGTGATGAGAGATTGCATGTTAAAAACCTCGAATGCTGGGCACCAGTGGATCAGGCCTGTAATCCTAGCCACTCAGGAGGCAGAGATCGGGAGGATCATGGTTTGAAGCCAGCCCAAGTAAGTAGTTCTTCAAGACCCTATTTTGGAAAAAACCTTCACACAAAAAAAGAGCTGGTATAGTGGTTCAAGGTGTAGGCCCTGAGTTCAAACCCCAGTACTAGAAAAAGAAAACGAAATACAATGAGCTGGATAATGTCACTTCTTTTTCTGTGCAATCCCCTGCCCTATGGAGTGGATGAAGCTCATTCTCTTCATATCAGGGGTCTAGAACCAGGCAACCCAGGCTACTTCTAGCTTATGTGAACTCTGATGTGAAGTTTAAAGCCAGAATGTGGAAGTGTGAGAAAAAAACCACTCCTTGGCTGGTCCTGACGGGAAGGAAGGAGAGAGCAGATTGTGTGTGTAGGGAGGGAGGAAAGGCTTCCTTAGATCTTAATGGAACACCAGCCAGCTGATTCCCCTCTTCTTACAGATGAGGAAACTGAGGTTTGTACAAGTGATGGAAGCAAATCACACTGTCACAGTGTGCGCTCCCATGGGTCCTCTATTGCTCACCTTCTCACCCCTTTCTTCCCTTGAGGGTGTCTGGGTATGACAAGAACTGTGAGAGAAGGAACAAAAAGAGAGAACCTTCAAGGAGCTGGGACCTTTCTGCTAGCTTCATAAAAATTTAACATGAAAACTTCCACACAGTAAAAGGAACATAACACATGCAAATCATATGCTAATCACATGCTACTCTAAAGTCTTGTCCTCAGAACTCTGACACACACCTGGCTATAACCCTGGGGGAAATTCTAGGGAAACCCCTGTGCTCCAGTACATGTAGGGATGTACTCCACTTAGGCCAGGTAAGGGGTTAAGAATCATTTTAGGATTGGAGAGGAATTAGGTATAAAAATTGAGATTAGAGTCATGGTTAGTGCAGAGTCATGGGGTAGAGGTTATTGTAGGATTCAGACTGGGCTGTGCCTTTGAATGGGGTAGCCTAGGGAACTGTTAAAGTTGTCCTCTCCTCTCCCCTCTTTCCACCAACCCTGTCCCCACCTCCACAAGTACTTCTCTTTCCTGCACACACCCTTCACTGGCTTCTTCCTATTCCGAAACATACCCCCTTCCTGCGTTCTCCCAGTTTAGCCACCGGAGGAGCTCTAGGTAAATTGTCCTGGACCCCAACCTGTGCTTCAGCATTGGCTTCTAGCCCCAGGATCCGGAGTTGGTCTCGGCCCTACTCAAGTCCCTCCTTGGAAGAATGTGACAGCTGCAGGGGAAGCAATAAGGACCTGGTGAGCTGGCAGCTTCATTCCACAGCATGGGGAAAGAGCAACAGAACATGAATAAATTCATAGAGCTGGCCCCTCGGCTCCCTGTGAGCCAAGCCTGCTCCCCCCCACCACCACCACACACACCCGGCTGCCGCTTGCAGCCCTGCTGGTCACCGCAGCTCACAGCCTGTGCTGGGGAGGGAGCAGAGGGGAAGCTCTAGAAAGAAGAGGCCTGGTACCTGAAAGGGGCTGAGGTGAGGGGCTCAAAAAGGGGGCATTGGGGAATAATATTAGTGGGGTGGACAGAGAGGGCCTATGGTGAGTGAAGGGAGGGCAGTGGGAAGGAGGAAGGGTGGCAGGACTTGGGGTAGATGGGGCCTGAGGCTCCGGCAGGGGAAGCTGGTGTGAGCCCAGGCCTGCTCTCTCTAATCCATCCATCATCCGGCCTGGGGGAGCAGATCTGGAATTAGACATGCATGGGGCCCGACAAGGCCCTCAGCCCCCCAAGGAAGACAAATGGTGACAAAGACCTTGAATAAAATTTTTATTTATGGTTGGAGGAGGAGGCCCCTCCCCCACTGACTGCCAATCCTTTCTCTCCCAATCCTTTCAGGCACATAGGGGCCTCTCCCCACTCCTGACACAGGCCCAGCCTCAACAACCTCTTTCTCCCCTCCACCCCCCAATTCATTATGATGTGTGGTGCAGGGAAGGTGCAGGAAAGGAGTACAGGAAACAAGGGATGTCCAACAACCATGTCCTTGTGCCCTCCATTTTACACAACAGTTTGCACATGCTCCTGGTTTACCTAGTCTCTAAGAGGCCTTTGCACTGTCTACCCCTAAGATCTTCAAACATCTCCACTTTCACTAGTCCCAGATCCCCTTCTCCAAGCCTCTGGCCTGGTGTACTCAGAGGCAACCAGGTCCTAGGAAACGATGCAGCCAATAGTTTTCTTTCCTGATCTATCAAAGGCGGTGTTCCCTCTTGGTTACCCTGAAAGCAGACACAGTAACCTCTTACAGGCAAATAACTAGCACCTAATCTGCATTTCAGTTATATTAATATGCATAATTAACCAAACATGCATTATGTGGAATCTAATTTCTCTGGCTTTCATCTGATTGTAGGGAAGAGGGAGGGGTCAAGATTTCAGGGGCTGGACAAGCCTGGGACACCAGCAGGGGTGAGGTTGGGCTGAGCTGGGTATGACAAGTGGGATTAGAGCTATCTTCCAACACTTTCTTCTCAGGTGATTTCCTACTCTTCAGTCCTGAGACTGGAGAAACAGCATTCCTGGGGTCTCAAAATTAGGGACTAAGAGAAAGACAAATACAAATACCTCCCTTCAAAGAGCCCTCACACATACATACACAAAGACAGCACACAATCTGCAATCCCACTCACCCGGGGACACACAAGGCCAGGATCCCATCACTACCTCCACTTTCCAGCACACTGTCACAATGCAAAGGCCCAGAGCCTACCCCTCTGCTCGCAGAACTGCCCCGCCCCCGCGTCTTCCCCACAGTTGATATGTCACATTGGAGTCCGAACACGGACCTGGGTGTCTCTCTGCAGCGCGCCATTTACATTTCTCTCTCGATCTGTCAACCTGTCTGGGCTCCTCTCTCCGTCCGTCTCTCTGTCTCTCCCTCGCCCCCTCTGGGGCTGTCAGTCTCTTTTCGAAGCTTTGTCTCTGTCTCTGCATCTTTATCTGGTTTTCTGTCTCTTTGATTTCTCTGTCGCTCCTTCTTGGCTTTCCTGTCGGTTTCCTGCTTTTTTCCCCAGGCTGTTTCTTTCTCCTCTCCTCTCCTCTCCTCTCCTCTCTCCTCTCCTCTCACCCGCCCCGTGTTCTTCGCCCCCAACCTTAAGGGTCTGGGTGAGGATGCCAGGAAATTTGTCTTTTCTCATTCAGACTAACAAGTATCAGTTGAACCTCACATGCTATTCGGTATTCAGTTACCGGAAAAGAGAGGGGCGTGGGGTGACGAATTTCTACCTTTTCTCTCCCTTTTTGTTTTGTTTTCTGTTTGTGACTTTTCAGTCTCCTCCCCCCCCTTTTTAAAGATAGACAATCCACATCTGTCTTCTCTGTATGCTTATATCTTTGACCCCTGTTTATCCCAACGCTGTTTCCAGCTTTATCTGGGTTCTGAGAATGCTAAACTCCGAAAGTAAGGTTAGGGTGGGGGCCGCGAATCGCCTCAGAGCCCTCAGAACTGGCAAAAAACCTAGAGGCCGGGGGCTCAGTGGGGAGGCAGCGCTGCCTGCCCCGCCCCCGCGCTTCCCACTCTGGGCGCCAGGGGTCGCTCCGCCTTTGGCCGCTTATAGTGGCTCTCGCCGCGCGGCGACTCACACCACCCGCTCTGCTGCCAGGGGAGGAAGGTTAGGGACGCAGAGGCGGAGAACGCTTGCAGGAGAGAGACTCCGGGTCAGGGTTCTAGCTAGGGTGGCGGTCGCGGCTGGGGGAGACGGGCGGGAAGTGCTTTCCAAGAGCAGGACCTCGGAGGAGGTCGTACCCAGTGGGCGCCACCCGCGGCTCTGAGCCTGGACGTCGGGAGCTGTGGGAATAGTCCCCGCTCCAGCCAGGAGCAATCCGTGAGGGTCGTCTTGGACCCAGGTACCACCATCCGTGAGAAAACAGCTGTCTGGAGAGCAGGCACCCTAGACCTGTTGGAATCCAGCCGTCCAAGAAGCCCCGGGTCTCAGCATCGGAGGGTAATAGAAGACCACGGGCTCAGAACCATCGGGAGCTGTCCCTGGCCCAACCCCCGGGAGGAGGGGTGTGGGGGGAACCTGCGCCTTGACGAACGGCTTGGGGAAGGTACCTCTGCGGCGACAGCCGGTACGGGCAGGGAGGCCGGGTGCAGCCGTCGGGGTGTGTGGGGGGTAGTTCAGACCCAGGCTTGAGCCGGGCTACCGCCTCCTGGGCCAGCGGAGAGCCCCGGGCCTCTGCCGCCATTGCGCCCAAAAGTGAGGAGGATCTGCTGGCCCTGGCCGCGTCGCGACTGAGCCGCCGCAAGCGCGTGGCGGGAGCGGCCGTCGGGGTGGCCATGGTGCTATTGCTGCTGGTGGCCATCCCGCTGCTGGTGCACAGTTCCCGCGGGCCGGCACACTATGAAATGCTGGGTCGCTGCCGAATGGTATGTGACCCGCACGCTCCGCGAGGCCCGGGCCCCGACAGTGCGCCCGCTTCAGTGCCCCCGTTCCCCCCAGGTGCCAAGGGAGAGGTAGGCCGGCGCGGGAAGGCAGGCCTGCGGGGGCCTCCGGGACCTCCAGGTCCCAGAGGACCCCCGGGAGAGCCAGGTAGGCCAGGTCCCCCAGGTCCTCCCGGTCCAGGCCCAGGAGGGGCAGCCCCCCCTGCTGGCTACGTTCCTCGAATTGCTTTCTACGCTGGCTTGCGGAGGCCTCACGAGGGTTATGAGGTGCTGCGCTTTGACGACGTGGTGACCAACGTGGGCAACGCTTACGAGGCAGCCAGCGGCAAGTTCACCTGTCCCATGCCGGGCGTCTACTTCTTCGCTTACCATGTGCTTATGCGCGGCGGCGATGGCACCAGCATGTGGGCAGATTTGATGAAAAACGGACAGGTGAGATGCCCCTTTCCCAATTAGCCCCGGATCCGACTGGTAGCTTCCTAAACCTCCCGCACTCATTCCATAACCCAGCTCCTTCTCTGAAACAACTTCAGGGAATCCAGGCACACAGGGCGCCAAAAACTTATATTGTAAATCTCTTATTTAGCCAAAGAGGAATTGGACACCAGCGAAAGAAAGTCACCTGCACAGGGTTGCTTGGAGTGTTAGGAACGCCGTCAGTATTAGAACTCAGGACTCAAGGCTTAAAGTCTCTGAAGCCTTGACCTCACACTACAACTATAGGCAACCATACCAAACCACCAAACGTCTTTGGTGTCTCACCCTAAGGATTAGCCTCTTTTCTTATATCCTGTTTTTGAACTGCCCTCTCTCCCAGGGGCAGCCTTGCTGGACTTTGGGTTTCCCTGCCCTAGCGTGGGGTGAGTTACTCACAATCTGACTTCTTGGAATTAGAATGGAATCCCCACGTCAGACAGTGGGCATTCAGCAGCATTGCGTGTGGGGGCATTCAGCTTGGATTTTCAAGGAGAAGGAAAAGGAAAAGGAAGGAAGGGAGGGAGGGAGCAAGCAAGGAAGGAAATGCTTTCTTGCTCACTTGCTATTGCTCATCCCAGAACCTGGAGCCAAGCCTAGACCATGCTTTGCTCTCAGATAATATTGAGTCCTTGGTAGAGGTGGGAAATGGTCTTACAGCTAGGGGTGGGGGGCAGCAAGGTGGTGGAAGGAAGGATTTGGAAGTATGTGGCAAGGGTCAGGCCTTGGACCCTGGCTTGATTGTAGGCCCACGTCCTCCCTAGCAATTGCTCAGCCTCCAGGTTCCATTGCTTGTTGCTCCTGTGGGCAGAATCAATGTCATTGTTGCCTTAGTTTGGGGGAGTACCCCAAGGACTCATCAGCTTCAGTGAGGAAGCACCTATAGCTAGGAAGAGGCTTCAGGCTGAGGTGGCTGCCTGGGCTGTGTAGGCAGGGGGAGGTTGGAGCTGAGCCCTGACCTCCAAATGCTCTATACCAGGGGATAGTGCCCTGGGTGAACCAGGCCTTCTTTAGGTGCTTTGAGCCTTGGGCTGGCAGCACCCTCCCAGCTCCCAGGAGGATATCACTGCTCACCCACCTTCCACACCTGCTTTAGGATCTCTTCTCAGCAGGACATTCCCAGGAACCCAAGGAGAGGGAATGAAAGTGCATGTGTGTATGTATGGGGTAGATGTGTATGTGTAAGGAAGTGTGTGTATGATTTGAATGTGTGCCTGTGGGTACAGAGGTCCAAGGTGTGAGGAGAATGGTGGTATCTTTCTGCATGTGGCAACAAATAGGTGGGGTAGGTGGGCTTGGTATATCTGGGAGGAGGCAAAAGGGGCCAGCCAGTGTGTATTTAAAGTATGTTGATTTTGGAGGGGGTGGGGGACCGCGCAGTTCCCACTCTGTATGCAGTTGCGCGGGCACTGCGGCCCTGAGGATGGTAAATAATGATTAGAATAATGATGAATAATTAATGAGTTAATAACCAGCCCGGTGGGACGGAAAGAGGGAGGCTGAGGAGGGGGCTGGCAGCCAGAGGGAACTGCTGAAAGGCCAGAGGAGAGGCGGGGCTCCCTGTTGGGACACACACACACATTGGGGCACCAGCTGGTGCTCCACAGGGAAATGGGGCCACAGAGGCCAGAATGGAACAGTGCACCTTCCCAGGCCCTGCACACGACCAGACACACCTATGCCCCAGTTCCCAGGGAATGCAATGCAAATTTAGGATTAACAGTAGGTCCCAGTGGACACAGAATCTTAGAAAGTACCCGACAGGCTAATTTTTATTTTTGAAATGAAAATAATAGCAAACCCTATATAACATTTTCTATATGAAACATTGTCCCGAACACACTCCACGGGTGTTGACTCATTGAATCCTAACTGCCTCCTATTTTCCGTTCCCCACACAGAGAAGGCCTGACCGGTATCCTAGTCACACAGCTAGTGAATGGCACAGCCAGAGAAGCTGCTGGATCTCCTAGTTTCTCATCCTCAACACCTGAGCCCGCTGCCCTTGTGTGGCCTTGCCACGTCCAGTAGCAACCATTTGACCCGATCCCTCCACCCCAGCTCTGCGCAGGGAGTGAGTAGGTCATTTTCTTTTCTCACTAGGTTCGGGCCAGCGCCATTGCTCAGGACGCGGACCAGAACTACGACTATGCCAGTAACAGCGTCATTCTGCACCTGGATGTAGGCGACGAGGTCTTCATCAAGCTGGACGGTGGGAAGGTGCATGGAGGCAACACCAACAAGTACAGCACCTTCTCGGGTTTCATCATCTACCCGGACTGAGCGGACACCTTCGCCCGTGCCCCTCTTGCCCCTTGGCTCCCATCCTCACCCACCTCCAGCTGGCTGGCCCTTCCCCATTCAAAGAACCTGGTCGTGGGGTGGACCCTCCTGCTCCCTCAGGCAGCCTAAATAGGTGAATTGTCAGGAATCAAGGGTGTAAGTGATTGGGGAGTGGAGACCAGCTGGAGGAGGAGCAGAGTGGCTTAGGGAAGGACCACCCAAATTCACAAGCACTTCAGTGAAAACCAGACTTGAGAGGGGCAGAGGTCTTGGTCCTGTCTTCTGCCTAGAGCTTCGAACAGTTTCATTAGAAGGGCTCAGAAGCCCAGAAAGCAGAAGGGAAGCCCTGGTAGCTTGGGAGTGAAAGAACAAAAACAAAAGGAGCCCTCCCAGGTGAGAGAAGACACTGGATACAGTATCCTCATCAAGACATCCCTTCCTCCTTCATCTCCATTTTCAGGCTCCAGGCTCCAGCCTTGGTAGCCTTCCTGTGAACTGGAGGAACTAGTGAGTTCTTTCCTAGCATTTAAAACTCATTCTGTACAGTCCCCCTCTACCCTTCTCCAGGCGAGGCCCTGGGGCTACAGCTACTGTTGCCTCTTCCAATAAAGTGAGGTTGGGGATTGTGTGCCACTGCTTAACTTAGTGTACAGACTGGGGGGTGGGAATAATTGGCTCTTTCCCTGACCCCCTGAAAGAACGCCCATCCTGCCTGTCAATCTCCACTAGAGGAACAGGCTGAGGCTGCCTCTAGGGGAGAAGGGCAGCCCAGGCTCTTGCTCTGCTGTGGGAAGAAAAGGATAAATATCAGCTCCAAGAGTGCTCTGGGCCTTCCTCTCTAGGTGAGGGAAGGGGTGGAGGTGGTGGTGACACCATTCAGAATAACACTAACAAGGTGTGAATCTGGTACTCCTGCCCTTCTATCTACTGCAGAAAGAGAGTTCTAGCAGATTTTTTTTTTTTTTTTGAGATGCGGGTCTCATGTTGCCCAAGCTGTCCTCCACCTCCTGGGTTCAAATGATCGTCCTGCCTCAGCCTTCGAGTAGCTAGGGCTACAGGTGCCCATCAAACCAGCTGAGTGCTCTAGCAGAAGAGCCCTGGGAGACGAGGGAGCAGCTGGTGACCCTTGGAAGTAGGGCTGATATCAATGTTCAGGCAGAAGAGCAGGTCCCACAATTGCCCCAAATGCACTAGAGCTTGTTGAGAAGGTGGGCTGAGCAGGAGTGGGAAGACTTCCTGTAGTCCAATGACTGAGGGAAATCCTGAGGGCCCAAAGGCCTCTATGTGGGAGCATACTGCCACCGTGTGGGCAACTGGAGAGCGACAGCAGCAGCTGCCCTATTTGGATACTTAAATCTCACTAGCTGGACAGGTGGACACTATAGAAACTTTATTAAAGGATAAAAGGGTGTTGGCTCCCAGTCCCATGGGCAGACCAACAATAAATAAGGGCTAAAGGGAAAGGGTTGATCTCTGCAGGGCAGGAGTGGGTGGAGGCTGGAGCCTCATGATGGTGAGTGGGCTGCAGAACCAACTGGAATAAAACACTGGAGAGAGAGAGAGACCTCGTCACATTCCCATTAGCACTCAGTAAAAGAGGCGAGGCCAACTCTGCTATTGCCCCCCACTTTCCACAGGCTTGTTGTGCAGATGCAGGTTGGCTGGACACTGGAGGCTCTCACCAGGGCTTCCTGCCATTCCAGCAATACAGCCACAGGGTTGGTGCAGACACGGGTGGGCCCTGGGGGAGGGGTTCGGCTGGTGTAGAAGGCACACTCATCATCCAGGCGGGCCTCATGAGAGCGATGGATAGCTGTGAGACACGCTTTGAGGCGCTGCCTCAGGGCCAGAGTTCGAGGGGCCAGACTGCTGGGGCCTGAGGGCCAGGGAGAGTTTAGAGAGGGCTCTGAAGTCCTATACTCCCACCATGCACTCTTCCTTCCCTCAAGAGCCAAGCCAGTTAGGAGCACAGGGCTACAGAGGCAGCAACTCCCTTCTTTCTGAGGGAGCCAGGCTGGGGCACGCAAGATGGCAGAGAAAGAAAGCATGACATCATCTGGCGCAGGGCAGGACCATACTCCCAGTGAGACAAGACCCCCTCCACCTTCTCTTTTTTTAAAGGACCCCTTTCTTCACACCCTTTCCCAGACAACTCCTTACCTGTCTGGCCTGTCAGGGGCCTTGGAGACTGGAGTGAGTGGATAGGGGGGCTGGCGCAAAGTGGGCGTTGGGAAGAGAAGGTCAGGCTGGTGGTTGCCAGGGACCCCTGACTACAGCAGGGCCATGGGCTGGACTCTGGGCTTCTAGGGTCCAGGGAATGGGCTACTGATGGGCCCTGTTCTCCCGTAGGGCAAGCCTCTGGGGATTCAATCTGCCCCTGGGGGCTAGACTGAAGGGGTGCAGTCAGTGCTGGAGGGCAGGGCTCTGGGACCTCAGACTGTTCCTGGGAGGAGGACTCTGGTGTCTCTGGCCCAGTACTACAGCAGGACTCTTGGGGCCCTGGCTGTGCTGAAGGGCAGAGCTGAGCCACCTCAGCCTCTGCCCCAGAGTAGGGTAGTGGTTCCCCACACTCCTCTGGAAGGCAGAGCTCTGGCATCCCAGAGTGCTTTGACAGTCCAGAAAGGTGGGAAGTTTCAGAATTTTGCTCTGGGGGATTCAGAGTTCTAGAAATCTCAGCCAGCAGTGGCTGAAGTTCAACCATATCCAGAGAGGAGCCTCCATTAAGGGCAGTACACTTGCCCACTGCCAGCCCCTCTACCTCCTGTCGCAACAGCTGCTGCAGGATACTGATGCGCTGTGGTAAGAGAGAGTGCCCCAGCGTGATATCACTGTGGATTTATGCAGTCTACCCACACTGTCCTCTCTCCGGACCCCTATCCACCCTCTCACAGACCAGTAGCCTTCAAAATTGCTCTCCCCACAGGCCCACCTGCATCTTTAGCTCCTGGAGGTTAGGGGTTCTATCAGGCTGGGGTCCAGCAGGACTTGCCACAGTTGGATTCCCAGGACCCTCCTGCAACCTGACACAACTGTCCTGGTCAAATAACTGTACAGCAATCCGCTCCTGCCACAGGAGGAAAAGGAGCAGATGAGGAAGCCAGGCTAAGGCATGAAGAATACCAGTCTGTGTTCCACCCTCATGATAAATGAATCAAAGTCCTAACTGAGCCAGGCATGATGAGCACAACCTGTAATCTCAGCACTGAGGCAGGAAGATGGAAAGTTCAAGATCATCCTGGGCTATACAGTGAGAACCCATCTCAAAACAAACAAGACAGACAAAAACCACAAAGACAGGCCCTAGACTTAGACTAGGAGGCAGCAGAGACTCAGGGAGAGGTGATGAAGTAGACAGAGCTCCATTGAACACACCTTCCTCAAACTGCCAGGCCTCCAGGGAAGCAGAACAGTGCCAAGGCCCTCAGCAGGGCAAGGCTTCTGATACTTACCCAGGGCATGGCAGGCTCTTCAGCGCAGGACTGAGGAGAGAGGCCACTCAACCATTGGGTCTATGACAGAGGTGAGCTATCAGGAAGGCCCAGAACACACAAATGGGACCCAGTTCCCCTTTGCGTTTGTCTTAGCGCCCTCATCCCCATCCATCTCCTTCTCTCCCCAGCCTTAGCCCAGGCCAGCTTCCTCTCCTGCTCTCTTACCTGCTTAACTCTGGGAGCTGATCGGATGGGTGTGAATTGTGTTTTGGGCCGAATGGCAAGACGCCGCAAAAATGAATATGGGGTCTAGAGAGAGATGTGGTGGCTGAGCAGAACAAAACCTAGACCTAGCAGGGATCTCAAGGCAGATTGTTCTGCTCTCGCCCAGCCCCCAGGAGTTGTTGATACAAACCAAAGTTGGAGGGCCAGGGGAAGGTACACGCTGAGCCCGTCCAAAAGGTGAAGGGCGGGGGACAGAAGGTGTCATCACACGACCAGGCATGGGCTGGGCTACAGAGCCAGGAGAGGGCATCAGGTGTGAGTCACGGTTGTCCTGTGGAGAGGAAAAAGGTGGGAAGAGTGATTGCTTTCCTATGTGGTTTTTCCATTGCAGTGGCCAGTGTGGTTCTTTCAAGACTGAAGTCAAATCTTGTCGCATCCTTATTCATTCCCTCTCCCCTTGGCTTTCCACTCATTCCAAGTAAGAGCCAAGGATTTAAACTGGTTCAGAAGTCCTTTCCTAATCCTGTTCTCACTGTAACTTCATTTCTTACTCTTCTTCTCCTTCCTTGGTTTCAGTCTCACTGGCCTCTTTTGCTGCCCCACAAACACACGAGACACATTCTCTCCCAGGATCTTTGCATTGCAGCTTTCCTAGTCTGAAAATGTTCTCCCCTAGATATTTGCATGGTTCGTACCTTAACTCCTGGTCTTCACTTAAACAGCATCCTCTCAATCAGAGTGTCCTGCCCAAACTGTTTTAAATTGTGATACCAACTTCCCCACTTCCAATTTTCCTTCAACGTCCTTTTTTTTTATAGACGTATCACCATCTGTCATTTTATATATTTCGTATATGTGTTTATTTTTTGTCTCCCTCTTCTAGAATATGCAAGCCCAGAGCCTAGAATAGTGCCTGCACTCAGTAGCTGGTCAGTAAATATTTATGAAATGAAGGAACGAATGCTTTGAGCTGACAGATGTCAGAGGTATCACAGCCACAGCACTGAATTGATGACGATACAAATATCAGTCTGTGACCGACCCAAGACACCTGGTAGAGAGGTCAGACCCATTCTTGAATCCCCCAAGCATCTCCATGCTCCCCACCCCCATCCCAGGAGCGTCCCATCTCACCCTGGTGAGTCTTATCTCTCGGGTTTCTCTCAATGGTACTCGCTGGGCCAGACCCAGGAGGGCTCCTCCTCCTTCATCCGAGTGAGGAACAACCTCATGTTTTCCTTCAGGGAGAGAAGAAGCTGGGAGGACAGAGGACATTTGCTGTAGTATCTAGAACACGTGCCAAGTCTGGCATAGGGTATTGCAACCTCTGAAAAGGGTGTATCAGTTTAACAGCTCCCGTTGTCCATCAGAGGCAGGGACCCATCCAGTATCCCCTGTGAGCCCAACACTACCTCAGCAAACTATCATCATTCTGAACACCCTGGGTGGCTGGGGGCATGGTTATGGCTCTTAGGGGCTGGGGACAGAACAGTGAGTAGAAGGTCAATCTTGTAGGAAGTGGCAAGGACAGTGCAATTGGTGCAACTTCTGGCCTATCCAGAAGGTCTCATCCCCTCTTGTTCTTTTTTTTTTTTTTTTTTTTTTGCGGTACTGGGGCTTGAACTCAGGGCCTTCACCTTGAGGCAGTCCACCAGCCCAATTTTTTATGATAGGGCTTTTCGAGATAGGGTCTCATGGACTATTTACTCAGGCTGGTTTTGTTTTGCAATCTTTCTGATCTCTGCCTCCTGAGTAGCTAGATTATAGGCATGAGCCACAGGTGCCTGGCTCTTTTCTTTTTTTTGGTGATGCTGAGGATCAAACCCAGGTCCTTTCAAATTCTAGGCACGTGCTCTCCACTGAGCTACAACCCTAGTCTTCTTGACCTAGCCTCTCTGCCTCCCCACTTTCTTAACCACCCAAAAGCCTGCTCAGCTTTCTCTTACCTTGTTCTCTGCTGCAGGCAGCCTACCCACCCCTGTTCTCTCCCAATAGCCAGACATACTTACTAGGTTGCACTGGGGTCTCCAGGAGCAATCTTGAGGCCTGGTTCACTGAAGTCCTGATGACAATAAAAACAATAGCAAACACTGAATACCAAGCATGGGCTGGGAGCATGCTAAGTGCTTTACAAACATCATCTCATTTCATTTGCACAACAACCTCTAATGATGATACAAACATTATCCTTATTTGACAGATAAAGAAACCAAAGCTCAGGGAAGTTAAGGCAAGTTTGCACAACTAGTAGTGTAAACTGTCAGAGGTAAGTCAAATCTCATTTATTGCCACAGTCTACAGTCTAGCCAAAGAAATACCATCTCATATTTCTGTTCCTCTTCTCCCATGTCATACTGACGCCTGGCTATGAAGGCCTGGACGTAATTCTAAGGGCTTATCCTGGGTGGCCACAGGTTTGCCCTAGCCCCTTCTGGGCTGAAGGAGACTCCAAAGCTACTAGAAGGCCTCGGCTATGGGGGACCCCTGTCTCAGACGCTGGTTCATTGGTTTTCCCACCTGCCCTTCTCCCACAACCTCTCCTTCTCACCGGCTGCTGCCACTTGTCTCTCTTCTTAGCTCTTGTAAACTGGGGTGGGTAGAGGGGTGAAAGGAAGGTCCTGAAGATGGAATCTGATCCATTGGAACAAGAAATGACAGCAGAGTCAGTGGTGGGCCCCAAACCTTCAGCCACTGCCACCACTCCCATCTTTCCTGAAAGAACCTCTTGTTTCATCAGAAGGTACCTTCTCTCCTAGAACCCAGCTTTGTCCCAGGCCTCCGACCCGACAGATATCTGTCTGGGGAGGGGGCCCAGGCAGATTTTGTCCCCACAGGGCTAGATCTGAGCTCCTCCAAGGGGTTCCAGGTTGAGTGATCCCCACCAATCTTTGTGATTTCTCTGTTTGATGTGTGGATTTCAACCTGGGGCTTGCTGAACATCAAAAGAGCACTCACCAGAGCCTCTAGTCTCTGAGGGCACAAAGTCCGCCCTCGGGGTCCTGGTCCTTCCAGCCTCGAGAAACAGGAAGCCCTGGCAGAGTCCAGTCGGTGGATGGGAGTCCTGGGGGCCATATATGCAGAAGCCCGAGCACTCTGGGACCCCAACAGAGACTATCAGCACAAGTTCAGAATTCCCTCCTCAAGCCACCCCAGTCAGATGGCATATCCTATCTCATTACCTGACCCCTTCGGATGGTGCCTCCCTTGCTTCCTCGAATCAGTACTCTCTGAGCCAGACTGGACTGGCGACCAATAGGACAGCTCTTCACCCCCTCCCCTGACAGGATGGTGGCCAGGGCTGCAGGGTCAGCCACAAACTCTATGGCCCCTGAAGCCTCTGCAGGAAAAGAGATGGGAAGATGAGAAGGAACAGGGATGTGGAGGCTTGAGGGGCCAGGGGCACTAAAATAATCATCCTGAGGTGCAAGAATGAGTTCAAATGAGCCCAACTCATGAAATGTTTGAAGAACTTCATGTAACACTATTCCAAGCACTGGTCCCAAAGATAAGTTAAAACAAAGCCCTTATGAAGAATCCATCATCAAACTATTGAGAAGTAACAGACTCAAGCCAAAGAGTGGATAGATTACAAAAGAAATACTACAAAGCATAAGGACAATACAGAACAACTGACTGCTACTGGGGAACTGAAAAAGGCTTCAGAAGAGATGACTTTTGCTGAAGGAAGGGAATGGTTTCTAAGAGAAACCATCAGGAGCAGGGACCAGGACTCTTAAGAGTAGGCAGGAGACTGGGGATGTGCAAAGCCTCCAAGCCCCACTGTGTCCTTCCCATTCCCACTCAGCCAAGGAAGCTGTGTTCCCAGGCTTCTGACAAGTACCTGTTTGGCAAGGGGGCCCAGGCCCCACATTTAGTCCCCCAGGGCTAGGTCTGAGCTCCTCCAAAGGGTTCCGGAATTGAGTGATCCCCACCAATCTTTGTGATTTCTCTATTTGGTGTGTAGTTTTCGACTTGGGGCTTGCTGAATCAACAAGAGGGCGTTGAATATTGAATGGTGGCTTGTGCACCAGTCTCTAGGGGAAGGGGAGAAAAAAAGCTAGGATTCAGCATTTGGTGCATTGCTGGTTGTGTAGCTAATCACTTCACCCACCAGGCCCCGCTTACCCTTGGATCTTGATTCTCCTGGTCCAGGGAGTCCTGCTTGACTGTGGGGAAAGGCGGGCGTCTCTGAGACCGTACTGGAATCTTGCTAGGAGTGGGAGATACACCTCGGAGAAGGGGATCCTTCGTGGCTTGGAGGGTGGTCATGGCGACTACAATTGAGATGGACAAGAAGACAAGCAGGATCGGGCATCAAAGTCAACCAGTTCTCGGGGCATGGCTGCTGACATTCCTGATATTTCCACCTCCGCCCCAATCCATATGCCCAGAAACCCCCAGCGCCTGCAAGGCCGCTTTTCTGGCTGCCACCTCCAGACACTCCAAGCCTGCTCTTTCAGGACTCCGAACTGCTCTTCCCCTTATGAGACCCCCTCATCCTTCATTCCTTGCAGATCCCGATGTCGCACCTTTTCGGGAACCCTAATGGAGGACGGGAAATAGACAACGGTTTCAAGCTTCCCAGGGTCGCCTCCACTTTCTTTTCTTTTTTCCCCCGCCTCCGACTTTCTAGGCTTCTGCTGCTACTTCCCCAGTTTGTAAAATACGCCAAGCTTCTGATTGGCTCGGCCGCGCTGCCGCAGGAGCGCGTGACATCTGACGAAGCCGTCCAATCCACACGCCAAGGAGGCGGGGCCAGAAGAGGGACTTGTTGTGGAACCGCTTTCTGGCCAGGAAAAAAAACTGACCCGATTCCATCAGCCAATCCGAGAGCGGAGCGCGAGTGGAAGGCGGGGGAGAACGGGAGGAAGAGGCCATCCTGAGGCCGGGGAAGGCGTGGCGCTACGTATGGGTCGCAACCGGCGCCGTCGTACTCTCGCGAGGTCTCGCGACTGGCGAGCGAGGGGCTGCGGCATTGTGGGAAGGGATGGTCATGCTGACTGACCGCGATGGTGTTGGAACCTGGCCCGAGCTGTTGGCTGTGCACTGATCATACTGTGGGGCCAACCTTTGGGGACGCCACTCCAGACTTTTATAGAAAACATGTGCATATCCTGTGCGGGATGAAGAACTCATCCAAAAGGGTGGAGAGGGCTGGAGGAAATTGAATTGAACCTAACAAGAACAAAAAGACAAAAATAATTTGTCCAGTCAGACTCACTGTGGCTGGAACCTAGTTAACGTAACACGAGAATTGAATGGCTCGTCACAGCACCTCCAGGTTGCCTTTTGCAGGCCTTGAGGAATGGGGAGAGGACTCACCTGCTGATTATTGGCAGCATGGGAGTGAAGCCTCCCGATTCTAAAACAGGCTGCTTACAACTGAAGGGGTAACTCTTAATTGGGGACGGGAAATAGACAACGGTCCCAAGTTTATAGGATTCTTCAGATTTTGCCTCCGGTCACAGTGGTTCTTGTTGTTACACAAGCCAGGAATCCGGGAGTCGTTCTTGAACTCTTCCCCACCTCCCCTTCCATATCTCACCCCTCTTTCACTCTTACTGCTTTTTACCTTTAAGTGTCTTTATTTTGTTTTTTGGTGGGTCTGGGGTTTGAACTCAGGAATTCATGCTTTCAAAGCAGGCATTTGCCATTTGAGCCACGCCTCCAGTCTTTAAAAGTCTTTAGAATTCATCTACTTCATCTTCCTTACCATCATCTTCATCTCACCTAGAGTCTCCCAGGTGGTCTCTGTATCCCCCATTCTCTGTGTCCACATTAATCCATTCTCCTTATAGTAGCTAGAATAATCTTTGCAAAGTAAAAATCTGGTCATGTTACCACTTGGCATCTTGTACGTACCACCTTCTGCCTTGTTCCCTGACTTCCAACTTCATGGCCTCTTCTGATTCTTCAAATCTTTCAAACTCCAAACTCCGTCTAATCCTGTGTAGAATGCATTTTTTTTGTTCTTCCATTTTTCCTATTTATGTCTCCAAATTAATATCCACTGTTACTCAGGTTTTCTGTGAACCCCTCTACCCACAGCCTGCCCCCATCTTGGAAATTCCAATTCCCTAGGGATGTGCTCTCAAAGAGTAGCATTTATTTCCTCAGAGTGTGTATCTCAATTGATAATTATGTATTCATCAATGTGAACATAATACTTTTATTAAAGTTTGTCTCTCAGGAGAGACAGCTCCCTGTGTTTTACTTACCATTATATTTTCAGTTCCTTACACTGAGCACTTATAAAGTACTCCATCTTTGTTGAATGACTCAGTGGATGAATGAATATGTAATTGAATGAATGCATGGAAAGTCAGGGAAGACAGATAAGAGGTAATATTTGAACTTCTTTAAAAAGGAAAAAGTGGAGTTGGGGACGTAATTCAGTGGCAGAGTGGTTGTCTAGCATACATGAGGCCCTGGGCCTGGTCCCCAGCACAGAAAAAAAATTAGGGGTGGTGTGGTTCAAGTGGTAGAGCACCTGCCTAGGAAGTATGAGGCCCTGAGTTCAAACTCAATACTAGCAAAAAAAATAAGGGTTGGCAGCATGGCTTAAGTGGTAGAATAATTGCCTAGCAAGCATGAGGCCCTGAGTTTAATACCCAATACCCCTCCCCCCAAAAAAAATTCTAGACAAGTACTGAAAAAGGCAATCCCCAATACCAACAACAACAAAAATTATTCTAGACAGCACTTGCAAAAATAAGTACTTAAAGAGGCAAGGAAATATGGAGTGTTCAGACAGTAGTGCATCCTCAGGGCACAGGTAGAAACTAAGACTAGAAAGATGGTCTGAGTTGAAGGAAAGAATAACCTCATTCCACTGTGAATGTGCCAAATCCTAACCCCTAGATCAGTAGGGATGGCCAATAACAAGGATCATGCAGCTATTAAGTGTAAGGCCCTTTGCGAGGCATTTGGGATACAGAGAGGAATAGAGTTGAAGTTCAAGGGATGAGGAGGCTCCAGAGTGGAAATTGGTTGTATAGTGATTTTATATGATTTGAAGGTAGTCTACACAATTCAGGCCTTGTCTTCTTCTTAATGGACTTGGAAACTTGAGTTTTCTGGGCTATCTGGGTAGAACTTGGGTCAGACTCACACTAATCAAATACATAAGAGAAATAGTGATTTACTATGAGTGATAGACCTTCCAATGACCAAAATATTTACGCCTGTTCTTCAGGAAACCACTGTCACAGCATTAAGGTACAAAGAAGACTGATCTTGTATCAGAAAAGTCTTTCAAAGAGCCAATGCTCAGAATACTTGCCACACCTATGGGAGTATCCAATCAGGGTTTTGTGTGTGTGTGTGTGTGTGCTGGGGATCAAACTTAGGACCTTGTGAATGTTAGGCAAGTGCTTTACCACTGAACTACACCCCTGTACCCACTTTAAACATTGCAACTGTTTCCTTGTTTGTAAAGAATGTAATTGATTTTCTATCCAGCAACCTTAATGAACTCTTTTCTTGGTTTTCCTAGTTTGCCTATTGATTCTATTGAGTTTTCTAAGAGATAATTGTCTTTTGCAAATACAAACAATTTTATATATTCCCTTCCAAACTTTTTTAATTTGTAGAGGACAAGGTCTTTTCTTTTTTATTTTTTGGCAGGGTCTTGCTATGTAGCCCAGGCTGGCTTTGAACTCTTGACTCTCCTGCTTTAGTTTCCCAAGTGCTTGGATTATAGATGTGCATGGTTCCTTTCACAGTCTTTATACCTGCTTGGATTTTTTTTTTTGTTATTTTTGTTCTGTTTGGGTTTGTTTGTTTGTTTTTTGACTAAGGAAAGCTTTTTTTTTTATTCATTTATTCATATGTGCATACATTATTTGAGCCATTCCTCCCTGTTTGATTTTTAAAGTTTTATTTTATGTTTGCTTGACATAGTAATTGTGTATATTTATGGGGTGCAATTGAATGCTTTGATTAGGTATACATTGTACAATCATTTAATCAGGGTAATTAGCATATCCATCACCTTAAACATTTATTATTTCTTTGTGATAAGAACATTCAAAATCCTCTCTTTAACTATTTTGAAATATATAATACTTTATTGTTAACTATAGTCACCCTGCTGCCCAACAGAACACCAGGACTTATTATTTCTATATAACTGTAACATTATCCCCATTGCTTTTGTTTGATTTTATTGTTTGTTTTTTTTTTTTTTTTACATTATTTTACAGAATTACCAACATTATAACATCAGGGCAACCTTGAATTGTGAGACACTATTTAAAATTTCTCCAAAGGGTCACATTTTTCCCCTTTCTTTTTCTGCCTTGTTTTTGTGAAACAATCTCAAACTTACTGGACATTTGCATAAATATGCATATTTTTCTCAACCATTTGAGAATAAATTGACAAAATATTGCCGCATCCCTCTTAAATACTTGGGTGTGTATTTTTCTGTGAACAAGGAAAGTAGCACTGATATGTCCCTATCATCTAATACCAGGCCCACTCAAGTCTCACTAGTTTTCCCAAGGATGCACCTTCTAGTCAAATGATCCTGTCCAGAATCATTGTAGTTGTCATGACTCTCAGTCTCCTTCTGTCTGGAGCAATTCTTCAGTTTGACTTTTGTGACTTTGTTACCAGAAAACCAATCCCCTGACCTTGATGCCAATTTACAAATAACTAGAGCAGGGTTTTTGAGGAAAGGAAATAAAGTTTGTTACTCTTCAGACAAAGAGGAGGACAGGGAAGGTCAACTTTTCAAAGCCTTGCCATCCCACTTCTGAGAGGAAAATGTTTGCTTTTTAAAGGGGAGTTCAGGAGCTCAGTTTGACTATGTAACCAAATAGATGTCCTAGAATAGGTGCTGGCCTTTGTTCTCCAGGTGTCCTGGTGCCACATCTCTGAAGCTGTATGTGTTGGCCAACAGGTTTACTTCTCTGCTGGGGAGAGACATAAGGGGTAGAGGACTGACTGGTTTAATTGAAGAGTAAAGGGTATTAACCTTGGGTTCTCCAGCATGTAGACAAAAGGCAGGGGAAATGTCAATTTGATTAACAAGCACAGTAAACTGACTAGCATGCAAGCTGACTAAGCCAGAAATTCTCCCTTTTGTAGTCCTGGTTACAACTTCATACCTCTGAGGATTATAGGCCAGTTATTTTGTAATAACTCTCAACTTGGGTCTGTCCAATGTTTCCTCATGACTAGATTCAGTGTAATCTTTGGCAGGATGGTCACAGGATGCTGTTTTCCTACCAGTTCATTCTATCAGGTGGCTCCCTTTTCTTTTTCTTTTTTCCTTTCTCTTTTTTTTTAATTTTTCCAATACTAGAGTTTGAACTCAAGGCCTCATGCTTGTTCTCTACCTCTTGAGCCATGCCCCCAGCCCTTTTTTTATTTTAGTTATTTTTTTAGATAGGGTTTCCTGTTTTTGTCTGGGACCAGCCTGGGACTGTGATCTTCCTATGGCCTCCTGTGTAGCTGGGGTTACAGACATGCACTACCATGCCTGGCTTATTTGTTGAGATGGGGGGATTCTAACTTTTTCCTTGGGCTGGCCTTGAACCACAATCCTCCCAATCTCCACTTCCCAAGTAGCTGAGATTGTAGATGGGCACCATCAAACTTGGCCTCCACTATAAATTATGCTTTTGTAATTAACAAGG